CCTGGCCCCTGCTCAGCCTGCTTTCTTATGCAACACAGGCCCACCTGCCCTGGATGGCACCACCCACAGTGGGCTGGGCCCTCCCACATCACTCAACAATCAAGAAGGTTCCCCATGGACATAGCCACAGGCCAGTCCAATGGAGGAAATTCCCCAATAAGGCACCTTCAACCCAGGTGTGTCAAGTTGACACTAAAACTATCCAGCACACATGTGGTGTGTATAAACTCATGCAGGCACACATATATACACTTAAAATAAAAATAAAGCTTTAAAATGGCACATTATTAGTCAACTCATAACTTTTAAACATATTAAGAATATAAATATTCAGAATAGAATAAAATTGATTTCTTTTACCATAACTTTCTCTCATTAGTTTGTTGTGTGATGCATGCTGTCTCTGACAGATAAGCCATATGGCAAATTATACTGTTTTTTATTTGGAAAAAAAAATAAATTTAGACAGTGAATTTTTGTAGAAATATTTTAGAGGCTTTACTTTGTAAATAATTAAGTTGATCTTTTCTTTTGTAATAAGTGATAATTCAAATGTGTACATATTGGAAATGATTTTGCTGTCGGAGTGAAAAAAAACAAACAAACATCATCTTTAAGATATTAGAGACAGGGGACTAGGAATTCCATGCTTTTCTTACTTTAGTTCTGGTTTGGGAAATACATTGCCTTCCTGACCTGATGGCATACTGAAATATTCTCTTTTAAATCAGTGCATTACAGATTACAATTTGCATTGGTAAGAGTCACTTAGCTGACTTACTGTGGTATCCTTGCATAGCAGACTCTACCAAGTTATTCTAATCCTGATAATTTGAACTCATTAGTAGGGAAGATAATAATCACAGCAGTCAGCCTCCTATAAAGTACTTTTTTCAGAACTTTCATAAATCATTTCACCAGCCGCCTCGTGTTCATGTTTATCATGTCATCAATGTTTCCAAACATAGCACCTCATCTTCCTTCTATTAACACAAGACACTCCCACTGCCGCAATCAGCCTAATGATTGAAATATACCAAGAGCTGCTTTTGCTACTCCTAGAGAATAAGTAACGAAAGGATTTTAATTTAAATATTTCTAAATCACACTAAGTATTTGATTGATCAGTGTTTGTGAACCACATCATCTGTAAATTAGAATTGATATATATTACCAGAAAAGGTAATGCCTAGAAATCAGAAACTTAAAAATTAAAGAATTAAAAGAAATACCAGCTATATAAGCATTTAATTTTACATAATGATTATTTAGGCTAATTTTCCCCAAATTGTATGCTAGCCAAACTCTAATTCAGTCATTGCAATAAATCTGTTTACAGTTTTTGACTGTGTCTTGTTGAAAATTAGCAGAATAAATTGCCTTAGTATATTTTCCATTTATCATACCACAAAGGTTTCTCATGCAATTTTTATTAAAGATTTGAAAGTCAGATTTCAATTGTTCTGTGTATTCATTTGTGTACTATAACATTATTGGGTGAGTTCTTCTGTTGGATAGCGTGGTGTTTACCACATCATTATTACTGAACTTTTATATTTTTATTTGCTTTGTATAAAAGGTATAAATTTTTAAGGCTAGTGAATGTTAGTTTAGTTATTAGTATTAGTTTTATGTTGCTGTGACAGAACACCATAACGAAGGCAACTTATAGAAGGGAAAGTTTATTTGGGCTTAAGGTTCCAAAAGGATAAGAGTCCATCTTGGTGGTGAGACATGGCCAGAACAGGAAGTTGAGAGCTCACATCTCCAAAGGTAAACAGGAAGCAGGAAAAAAGCAAGCTGAAAAGTGGGACAAACCTATGAATTCCTAAAGCCCACTCCAGCATGTGCTTTCTCCAGCAAAACAGGTCTGCTAAACCTCTGTAGTAGAGCTACCAACTGGGGCCCAAGTGTTCAAATATTTGAGTCTGTGGGGGACACTCTCATTCAAACCACCACAGCAAACTTGTATCCATATGTCACACATGTATAAATACATTATGGCATATTGTATTGATACATGTGCATATATTTGTTGAAAACTAGTGATATACATGATTACTTATTTCCCTGACTTTCTACCAAATGTTGGACATGATTGACTTAATAATTTGATAGAAACAGGGGTATCTTGTGGTTTTACTGAATTTCTTTTGCTTTCAATACAATTAATTTTTTCTCATAAATTAACTAGAGTTGAATTTGACCTTTTCTAATCAATGCTGGAATCAAACCCAGCACTCTAGCACTGAGCTACTGTCCCAATTCCTTAGTATTTGTTTTTATAAATCTCCTGTTTCTCTTCCAAGATTGTTTTTTATCAAATTTGTAAGCCACCATAAAATACAGAAAACATCATCTTTCATCTTTTATTGCAGGGTTTTGATGATATAATATTTATTCAGAGATTCTTAAATTTCATTCAGCCTCAGCACTTAGCTTCTGTTGTGATTAAAAGAAAAACATATGTACATATATATGCATATATATGTGTGCGTGTGTGTATATATATATGTATATATGGAACTGGAGAGATGGTTTAGTGGTTAAGAGTGCTTGTTGCTCTTGCAGAGGACCCTAGTTTTATCTCTGTCGGCAGAGTTCTCTCTGGGTCTCTTATGCTATCAGGCAAACCATATAACATATCTTTATGTACATTTATTATTATCGTGGAGGGGGAAGCAGAGTGGCTTACAAAGAAACGAACACCCAGTGCCTAGCTCTGCGCCACTCAGCTCCATGCCACCCAGCTCTGTGCTTTGGCTCAGAGCCTGCCATTCCGGATCACTCCCACGGCACACCCATAGTCACCTCTAGCTTTGCCCATGCCTCAGGGGCCAGCGGTCTAGCCCCAGGTCCTTAAGTGCCGGGCCATTCTGTTCTTGAACACGCGCACCTGCTCCACCCCTCTAGTGTTCCCAGCTCTGGTTCCAGATGGCGCCACAAGGCCCTCCTTCCATGGCTAACTCTCCACAGTCAGTTCTCCGCAACAGGCCCCACCCCTTAGAGGAACCAGAACCCCTGGGGAACACAAGCTCCCAGCACTCAACCACATGTTATTCCAGCTTCATGAGCTATGCCGCCCTTTTCTGTCCTCCATGACCGCCTGCACATACAGTCAGAGATTGGGGGGGGGGGTGGGGGGAGCGGGGGGAGAAAGAGTAATAAAAATCTTATAAAATTTAAACTTCCTTGAATTTAAATATTTGTTATTTACCATATTTTATATCTGCAATTTCATCTTTATTTCTCTTAAATGTTCAGTTAATGTTAGTGTTTAAGGTTAAGCTATGATTTTTCCCCAAAAGTTCATTTATCCTTTTCATTTACTGAATAATTTATTCAACGCTTGATTTTAAGTTTTATTTTTTGTTTTGTTGCTATGCGTACCTGTATTTATTTCAAACTCACTACATGTCTCTCATGTCTATTCTAATTATTAAGTAATTATTTCATATTGGGGTTAAAATATATGTGTGTATTATATATATATATGGTTTATTGTTTGAGGTAGGGTCTCCCTGCAGCTCCAGCTGACTTGGAACTCACTATGTAGACCAGGCTAACCTGGATCTCAGAGAGATCTTCATGCTTCTCCCTCCTGAGTGCAGGGATTAAAGGTGTGTGCCACCACATCTAGCCCTAGAATATACTTTAAATAACCAAAATTTTATTTTTATCCTTTCTGGTATTTTCTAAGTGAGTTTGTTAGATATATTTGAGGTATGCAATCAAACGTTTTGATATGTATGATGAAGTAATTACTCTAGACAAACAGAAGTAGCCATCATCTTACAGGACGCTTTTATTTTTAAAGCAGAGTTGGAGTTTTGTCAGAGATTTTTATCACAGATCTAAGCACAGGGCCAACAGCAAGAAGCACACTCAGGAAAGGAATACACTCCAGAGTGTTGGCAAGGCATCTCACGAGAGTCACAGTTATTTCTTTTCTGTAGTAAAAATATCTTAGAATTCAACCTTCTTACCAAATTTCCGTTATGCAATACGTTATTAACTGTACTTGTAATTCCTTAGATTGTATTCTGAGACTTACTCTTCCAATGGGCCTTTGTTATCTTAGTGAGATTCTTTTCTATTTAATATATTTTATTAGAGTTTGAAATTCAGCTGTGCCTATATATTTGTTTGGTAAGAACTGAACACTTGATCAATTTATAGATTCAATCTGAAGATTTTTTTTCTTCTTGAAAAAAAAAAAGTTTTACTTTCCATTAAATAAATAGCCTGCTTTGCAAGCAAAGTAGCTCAGAGCTGTTCTGTTTGGGGGAATGACTTCATAGTATTTTATAGTCTTTGTTTATGAAAAAACTATGTTCTATGACTTTGGACATATTTGGCATTAAATAAAGTTACTCTAGGTGTTTTTTTTTTTCTTCTTGTTTTGTTTTTTGAGACAGGGTCTCCTGTAGCCCAGGCTTGCCTCAAACTTGGGCTGTAGCCAAGGCTGGTTTTGAATTTCTGTCTTCTACCTCCATCTCTTGATTACTATGTTACATGTGTGTCCCAGTGTACCAGACTCTGAATTTTACTCTTTGAATTTGTCTCTTTTTGTGATAGTCTCAAAACAGAATTAAAAATTACCAAAATATTTTGGTCTTCTGGCTCATGATATTATGTTAAACAATATAGTTGCACTGCCTAGCATATTTATTTCCCTAGCTAACTGGAAGCTTGCTGATAGTAAATAAGGTTTGAACAGGTTGACATTGATCTAGGATTGTCCTGACAGGAAACAGTAATGCTTCACACTAGCAGATTCTTTCTGCTACAAATTAATATTAAAATATCTTCAACATAAGTACAGTTTGAGACACTTGCTCTCAAACCAGTTTATTTCTCCACATTATTTATGCTGTCTATTTAATACCACTAATATTAGGACACAGATTTCAGCAGCTTAATTATTCTTTCAAAGGAAGAATAAAAATATTTGCCTTGTGAAATGTTTAATTTACCATAATTATCCCATTTGTTTACAGCTCATGGGACATTCGGAGTGGGACCACAAAAGAGGACCACGAGGGTCACAGGTAAATGTCCTTTCCTTATTCTCATTTTGTTACTTAATTCTTTGAGCACTGTGTTTTCTGAAATTCAAGAAAAAAGAATCAGTAGACAGAAGACGAGGCGAAAGAACCATGCCATTTGTTTGTATTTAAGTTAGCTGTAATTAAAGTCTGCATTTCAAACCCCAAAGGCAGATGCCAGTCTTTGCCTCCTGGGACCTTTCAGGTCTCCCAGATTGCTTCATGTTTATGTGAACTTTCTATTCATCTCGTCTCTGCAAGAAGGCATTTTGATGAACAGCCCACTCTCTTGACGTTATTCCCTTCCTTTGATACTTTTCCATCTCTTTTCTTTTCCTCCTCTCTTCCTGTTTCTGGTTAAATATTTTGAAATATAATCAAGGGTAAACTCTGAGCTAATTAGAAGATTTTCTTTCTAAATTAACTGTCTTCGTCTAAGGAAAATGGAAAGACGGAAGGACCTATTATTTTTGAAAAGAAACAAATTCTAAACCTTTCTATATTGCCAGACTGTTTTTGTTCCCTTTAGGTCTTAGGCAAAGAGAAAAAGCTTCCATGACGCATTTATCCTTTTTAATGACCTAATTAGACAACGTGGATTTGTTTTGTTTCCATAATTACTTCGCCTGACAGAATAAAGGCTGGGTCTTATGCTCAGAAAATTCTCTCCTCCCAGGATATTTTGTAAAGAAGTATAAAGCTATTTTTTTCATAGAAGTCTATGTTTACCTGACTCTAAACATGCCAAATAAAAATTAAGTGGGTGGAAATTGTCAGCACTTCTGTTCATGTTTTCTATTCTAATGTACAGTGCAGTGTAAGTTCATTGTCAAGTGTGGGCTGCTCCCCAGTGTGTCTCATGACGCTGCTGCCTGTGACATGCTGACACTGTGTATACGGATAACTGTTAATTTAGGTCATTGGCAAAATGAAACCAAGTCATTGGATAGTTCCAGCTGAGCTTTTAGAAGATGTGATTCGTTTTTTTTTTTTTTACTTCAACATTTATTTACTAAATATTTCTAAAACAATGAAATCTTTCATTAATCATTTCTACTGAACACATTTAGGTAAAATAGCTTGTTGAGTTTATAGTCTTAAATACCAGTGACTTAGTAAAAAAATAATAATTAGTAAAAAAATAATAATTAGGGCATAGTGTGAATCTGTTTTCATAAAAGCTGTAATTCTTTTAAATATTGTATTATTTTTATGTGTATGTGTGTATTGCCTTCATATGTGTGAGTGCATGCTTTGTGCAATGCCTACGTTTAGAGGAGAGTGAAACCCCTGGAGCTGGAGTTTTGGATGGTTGTTAGCTGCCATCTGGGTGCTGGGAATCAAATCCTTTACAAGAACAGTCAGTGCTCTTAACTGCTGAGCCATCTCTGCAGCACCAAAACTGTAATTCTTTATGTCAATTATCAATTTGATTAATGAATAATACAAGGAAATTCACTTTAATCAGGATTATGCGAAAGACTATCTTTTCCTTTAACCAGCTTGCGTGTCCCTTCTTTCCTCCATTTCTCTGGTGAGTCTTCCTCTGTTCCCATCTGTCATAACTTAACTCACACAAGGTGACTAATGAAGTATTGAAAGTAGCAGAGAAATCTCTTCATGATTACAGAAATAAACAGCGTAAATGTAAATAGGACCAGAGTTTCTGATCATCACACAAAGCAACTTGTTGAATACATGTACTGCCAAAGGAATGTAGCATTTTATATACTTTATTATATACAATTTAAAATACTTTCTCTACAGCCCATTTTTTACACTTTTTAAAAATTTATCTGTATATATATGTGTCTAGTGTATATGCCACTTGCGTGTATGTGCCCATGGAGGCCAAAAGAGGGAGTTGAATTCCCTGGAGCTGGAGTTACAAGTAGTGCAGGAATCCAACTTGGGTCTTCCAGAAGAGCAATACATCATTAACCATTGTGACTGCTTTCCAGCCCCTATGGCCCATTTTGCTATGATTTATCTGTATGCAAATTATATATATACATATTTTATATATATACATATATATGTATACAAATTTACACATTTCTGAATAAAACTTCCATTAAGTTTAAGGATAAAAGAAAAAATAGTGAAAAAATTATATTCTAGATATTATACATAAGTTTAGAAGTAGATGCACAAAAAATGTTTTCGTAAATTCTAGAAAAGTCGGATATTATTTGAAAGCCTGGGAGTAGTTCTGAAAAGCAGAAGAATTAGCACACGCTCGAGGAGTCAAGTCTTGAGCTGCGAGGTCTGTCTTATAACTTCAGCAGAACGGCTCTCCTAAATATAGTATACCTTTGTTTCACGCTGCTTCTTCGAACGAGGTGAAAATGGTCAAACTAAAACAGTCACGCTAAGAAGTAAGAACAGTTAACAACGAAACCTTTATCCTTCAGGAATTCCGGAGAGATAAATGAAACATTAGGTAATAACCTCTGACCTCATTCTAATTTCTCAGCGTGGTGACACACACACAAAAATAGATATTGTTTAGAGCATTGGTCCCTTCCTATCTTGCTGTCTTTTAGATAAATATATACTATGTCTCAGACAGCTCAGCCTTTCAAAGGGAATTTCAAGCAAGTCTCATCTGAACAGAAATCTTAATGTTTTACTAACACTCTAAGGCGTGACAGAAATCTAGTCTTCGCTGGGTTTAATTTGAAATGGGTCATAAGTACTTACTCTATGTAATTTGAAATGGGTCATAAGTACTTACTCTATGTAACCCTGTGGTGGGTCTGACATGGAAGAACTACTGAATGTTGTGGTTACTGCTTTCTTAGAGCTCAGAAATTGTGGTTAGAAATAGGACAGTGGTTAAGAACATTTGCTGTTTTTCCAGAGGACCTGGGTTCGATTCCCAGCACCCAGATGGTTAACAACCGTCCATTTCCAAGGGATCCAACACCCTCTCTTGGCTTCTGAGGTGCATTGCATGCATGTGATGCATGTGGTGCACTTTCATACATGCAGGCAAAACACTCATACACATAAAAATAATAAATAATAAATAAAAAAGAAATAAGGCAGTTGGAGAGATGGCTCAGTGGTTAAGAATGTGTACCCCTCCTGTAGCGTTCTCGCGTTTGATTTCCGGTGCCCATATCTGGCACAGAGACTCAAGTGCATATCCACACACAAAACCCATACGTATACATGTAACTAAAAATAATAAAATAAATCTTAAAAAATACAGCAATTTTTCTATTTGTATTTTCCTGTATGTAAACAAATATAATAAATAAAAAGTGGGACAGTGTAGTTCTTTCTGTCCAGTTGAGCTGAGCCTTTGGGGATGGGTAAGCCTTCTGACATGAAAGGGAGAGAAGGTGACTGAAAATATTTACGAACAGTCTGAACTGAGATGTGTCTCGGTGTATGTGAGTCGTCTTTTCACTCTATAAAACCTGTTGAAAGAGGCTGTTACAGGAAGGCCATTGAATGTCACACAGTGGCTGAGACGGAAGAGAAGGCAAGGAGGCTCGAGGGTTTGGGCACCGGAAGGATCAGCCATAAACACAGACTCTGAGAGGGAAAACGGTCGCTTCAGGGTGAGCGGGAGTGAAGGAGAAGCAAGCGTGACAATTCCAATGGAAGCTTTGGGCAGTACTTGTGGGACCATTCTGGTTGCTCTGTGGCCAGAAGAGAACAAATGTCAAACTGGAGATGCAAGTTGTACTTGTGATAATTTAACTGCACCATCAGATAACTCCCAGAAGGATGATATTTGATGAGAAAAGAGGAAGGAAGGCTGGTTCTTGGGAAATACTCACTGGTAAGGGTGAGAGGAAGCCAGGGAGGGAGTTACTGTATGTACCACGACTCAGAGTCAAGCAGCCCGGTGGCGAATTATGTGAAGAAAGCTGAGACCACAGAGTCTAGAAAGTGAAGAATCACAGAACCTTGGAATTGAGTGATTAGGACACTAATGAACTTTGGCCAGTTGGTTTTGGTAACGAAGTTGTGGTAGAACAAAGAAACTAGAAATTAAAGAGATTCTAGAGAGTTCTGCAGGAGCTTTTTGTAAAACGAAGGTAGGGTTGCAGAAAGTGGGGACGGTGGAGTGAAATTTTGCATGCTCAGGTGACAGGTGAGTCAGAGGTATTCATAATTAACAGCAGACTAAAAGAAAAAAAATGGGGAGAAGCGCAGTCGAGAGAGCGGCACACTGAGAAGGCTAAGGACGGAGAGTATGTGCAGTTTGTGGTACAGACCACACTTCTGTCTAACGGAGTCTCTTCGGTTACAGTGTGTAAACTTTCCTTTCACACTGCCCACCCACTGCCACTGAATCCCAGCCATTCACACCACATCAGCAAAATTGATCATATTCTCATGTGAACACCTTATTGCAGAAACCCATCAAAAACTGCAAATGGGGGACTGGAGAGATGGCTCAGTGGTTAAGAGCACTGGCTGCTTTCGCAAAGGACCTGGGTTCCGCTCCCAGCACCCACATGGCAGCTAACAACCTTCAGTAATTCCCGTTCCAGGGGATCCATCGCATTCCTCTGACCTCCATGGGCATTGCATGACACAGGTGCACTTACGTATATGCAGGCAATACACGTATGCACCTAAGATTTAAAAAAAATGTTCCAGGAGATCTGACCTCTGCAGCAATGCAGAACACAAGGGCACTTAACACACATGCAGGCAGTACACTCATACACATAAAAATAAGTAAAAAAGCATTAATTTTTTAAAAAAATGAATAAATATAGCATTTTTTAAAGTGCGGCTGGAAAAGCTTTGGAAACATGATGAACTATGTGACCCATAGCAAGAGAACAGAGATGGGGGTTGCTCATACAATATGATCAGTATGCTGTGGACCAAAGGATTTCACTTTTTCTTGAGACACGTGTGCATACATTTGTGATGTACTATTGCAGAGATGCATGGAATGAATGTTGTTGTAGATCTCTAACAATGAGGTTAGGTCTGGTGTCTGAGACTCAAAGCTCCAGTAGTAGAAGAAG